CTCTCCTGGAGTTGTTCCACAGACATAGCCCCTTCCCTGGACAGCAAGCAGAGATGGGTCAACTCCCTCCAGAGTAATTTGCTGTAGGGAACCATCCAGGCAGTCGAAGTGCACTTGCTCTGCCCATACTCCAGCGCAATCACACAGGCTGAGGAAGCACAAAGATGTGATTTGAGGTTGTCCTTGGGTCTGCAAAAAGTACTTTTCTTCATTCTTGTCTCCTTGATGTTAGAATCTCCACGGCTCCACCATGCATAGCTGCTTCCTCCCAAAGTATTGCAGGCTCTACTTAGCCCTGTTACAGCCCTACTGATTTAGGAGGGACCTTCAAGGCCATAACTGCTGCAGTAGATGAGGAAACTCAGCAAATTCATTGCCAGAATAATTTAGTGCTGATGTGGCAAGATTTTTCAGCTGTAAGTGTTAGAAGGGATTTCTCACCTGTGTTGCATTACGAGTTTAATACCACCAGTGTGTGTGTGTGTGTGTGTGTGTGAGTGTGTGAGAACACCTCATAGAGCAGGACCATTTCATGGTTTAATATTTAGTGTAATGGGGTCCAATAAAATCATGTTAAAAGATGTTAATGTTGCAAAGAAAAACATCAGAAGCAAGGAAATGCCAGAATTAATATGGCCTGTGGAAATTCAGCTTCTTGCACATTATGGTGCAGATCTTATTACCTGACATCCTAGGCTTTCCAGGGGGTGTCTTTTTTTCCAGTGAATGCATAGTTGGATTTTTCTTTTAATGTTCCTCACTCTATCTTTGTTAAACATGAAGCATCCAAAGCCCAATTAATAGAAAATCCTTCATCATATAAATATTTATCATATACCTTTATTGCAGTTTTTTGCTGCCTAATAAATGCATATCTTTTTCACAGTGACCTCAGATTATCAGACACTTTTAACAGTGCTCGTATTTGAATTCTGATGAACCAAATCAGGTGAAGTTAGAAATTGTATACAACTTTGGTTTTTAATAAAACTTTGATTTTTAATAAAAGTTTAAGCCAAGTGAGACTTTCATTTTTCTACATAAAAGTAACATTTATACACAATCATCTAAGTTCAAAGTATATTTTCCCAGCTTGGATCATTAATTAGGTCTTCTGTACAGCTGGAGTAGCAGAACTAGTCCATTGCTCTGGGCAGACTGGTCACTCATGACTTTTGTAATGAGTTTCACAGGTATTTGATGAGTGCTTAGGCTTGTATTTGTAGTGTTAGGCCCAAATCAAGAAGAGAGGAGAGCAAACTGTGGTGTTCCATCTCAGCCAATCCCAGTGTTCTTCTGCTGTCCACACCACACCCCTACATCTGCCACATTTTTTTTTCACTTGGCTTCTGCTCTCCTCTAGTTTTGCCACCATGGAGAGCCCATTCTTTTTTTGTGCCCTGATTTCTGTTCCCTCTCCCTGTTTGGTTTTCTGGGGTTTTTTTCCCTGTTTTTCTTCTCTTCATTTGAGTCTACAGGGGTTTTTTTTCTTTCAGGGTACTGCCTGGGCACCCTGTACTCAGGGCACTGCACAGTGGGGGTAGAACTAAGCAAAGAGGGAGAGTTTTGATAATGTCAGATTTCCCGACAGCATGGGGTTCTCCTGGCACTCTGAAGTAATCCTAAGGCTTGTTCAGCACCAGCATGTTTGAGATGGAGAGTATTCAATGCAGATAGGGTGTTCAGAAATTGAGGAGCCACACTGCAGCAGGAGTTCACCAACAGTGTGACAACAGGCCTTTTAGAATCTTACAAACTAAAATAAATGTGGACACTATTTCACAGAAATTATCATTTCTGGGTATTAGTACCTCTCCCCCTGCCCTTTCAGTTTTGGGATTTTGCCTTCAACTTTCAGGTGCTGAAGCCAATCAGCAGCATAATGATGTGACATTCAAAACATGAACACAGCAGTCTGTTCTCACAAATACTTGTATTTGAAGGTTTTTAGCTGAAACTTTACAAACATTTTGTAGCAGGCAACCAGAGTAGGAAAGTTCAGTGCAGTTCAACAGAATTCAAACTGAAACTGGATTCTTACTCTTGTGAATGATTCTCAACATGCATTTAACTAAAATGGTGAGAAAACCTGTGTAAACAGAGAGGGGGGAAAGGAAAACAGAGCAAGAGTAAAGAAAAAGGTTCTTTTTATAGCATTTAACACATGAGAATGTAAATAAATGTGGTGTTAGTGAAAGTTAATTATTTTGAAAACAGTCAGCAAGGCAGATTAAGAGGTAAAACAGTGCAGCTGAAGACAAAGGAAACAATATTTAGCCTTTGATCAGACATTTTCACAGTGATTTTCTGTTCACCTTCAAGGGCGGCATAATTTTATGAATAACAGAATTTGTTTTGCTACTTGAGTAGCCTTGAACAGAAATAGTGTTGATTCCATATGGCCACTTGAAAGAAAATCCCATGCCTGTTCGTCCTTTAAGAAATAACATTTTTATTTATTAAATCTTTTTTCTCATGGAGGGACCTAAAGATACACAATGAAGTTTACATTTAGTCTCAGAGGACAAGCCAAATCTCTGTGCTTCTGCACATTTCTTAAGATAGTGTTCATGGATGAACTACATCATCTATATGCCAAGTGACAAATCTGAAATACTCTCACTTTTTAAGCATTTTGCTTTCATTGCAATATTCTTAGATAAAAAATACTCACTTTTTTTCCTCCCCAAGTTTGTTGCATCATACAGGAAGTGAGTCTTTTTGATACAATTGATCAGTGGCTTTTCTGCTGTGACCTTTCAACTTTTATCGAAATTTATCAGTTGGGGCTTTTGTTGGTAATTTTTTTGGTTCTTTTTTGTTTTAATGTTTAATGTTAATTTATATGGATAAAGCATAATCTTTCAGATATTTAGATTGCTTTGTTATGTTGTTCAAAACAAAATGCAGTAGTCGTGTGAACTATGGTAGGAAAACTGATCTGTGAGTACCGAATTAGTGCATTATCCCTGCCCAGGAAAACCAGAGGTTTTAATATATTCTGTATATTAAAAATGCTTGGATTATGTTAATGTGTGCTGGAGCTATCTTTGGGCTGCTGTGGTAACTCCCCACCACAGGGTGTTGGGATGTCTGGGTGACAGACTCTCCAGCAGCTGGTTAAAGTCAGTGGTTGAACTTTCCTGGGGAGTGAGATCTGAGCCCTGGTGCAAATGTGAGAGACAGTGCTAACGGTGGCAACCACAGAACAGAAAATAAATTGGAAAGGAATGTATAAATTCCAGTAAATTTAGAGTAAGGAGATAATAAAAATATGCTGGAAGTGAGTATGCTAAAGGGACATGGAAAAAGAAGATCTACTAGGGTTTATGCTATGTAGCTACTAGGCATATACTTCTTTTTCTAATTAATTTTAATTATGTTATTTCATTTTATAGCTCTAAATACATTCTGTTTTCAATAATTTTAAATTATATTTTATATGTTAAATGAAAATATTATTTTTCTGGTCAAATCCTTTGTAAAGCAGTTGAGACCAACTGCTCCTGAAATTAAACACATCCTGTCAAGGAGAGGCTGTTGTAATTTCAATGTCTTTAAATGATTTTAAATATATTTTTTGAACAGTTCCCTCTGACACTGACACACTCAGGAGACACAATAATCTGAATAACTATTTCTCATGTTTGTATATAATGCACTCTGAAGGCATTTTTTATGGCAGATGGTCATACACTTATATATCTGAAGTATTTTACTGTACTTCAGATGTTATGCTACTTTAATAACAATGTGGTTAACATAAAACTATAGCAATGATGTTTGCACCTGAATGTTTATGAAATACTGCCCGTCAGGTTTGGGTTTGTGTGAGCCCTGACTGTATCTCATGCTCTGTGAGTGGCTCATCTCTGTGAGTGATGTTCTATGGCATTCAGCTGAGGGAACTTATATATACATATAATATTTAGCATTAGTCAAAACCTTTTTTCTGTTGCGCCTGGTGAGTATTTTGTCCTTTGTCAATAACTTCAATAGAAGTGAGTCAAAGTCACTTTTTTTTTTCTCTGAAATATTTTTGAAGTAGCAAAATGCATGGAAGAGTTTCTTGATGCAAGGTATCCTGAAACTTGTCATTGAACTTGCTGGTTGTAAAGGGAGTGGGTTTCTTTATTGTGTCTCTCACACCAAGTGAACCTCAGTGAGCGATATTTCTAGGTGGCTTTAAAACTGGAACTTCGAAACCTCCCACAGAGCCCTGGATTTTACATTAGCGAGCTAGTGAGCAAAATATTTTTTCCTCTGCTGAAAATGCAGGTAATTTAGATTACCAGAAGGTACAATTAAATTTTTGCTGGAAATCATGAAGATCCCAAGGAGATACCTAGTCTGCAGGAAAACAGTATTCTAGTTTTTTTTGACAGTGATGGATTTTATCACCTCCAATCAGCCTACAGCAGTGTATTGCGGAGATCAAATTGGAAGCTTTTATGTACTTATGTATTGCAAATATGAGTGAAAACAGTGCATGTATTCATTGATACAAAAGGAAAATATAGTTAACACACAGTTAGCAGATTCACAAAATTAAAAATACCATATGAATTATTTAACTAATGGTGCGCTTTGCCCCAGAACCTGGTGTTTATTATTTTGAGCTTTAGCAGGAAACAGAAGCAGTATCAATTGGGGAAACATTTCTTGGCCAAGCTGAGAACAGTATGGCTTTCTCATTTCAAAGTGGGGAACCTGGTTCTTTGGTTTCTTTGTTCCTAGTTAAGACTACTCCCCAAGCTATTTTAGCTGAACATTTAACCCACTAATGGAGCCTGGGGAAGTGCAGTTGGCAGCTGTTCATGGGATAATAATGAAACACACTGTTTAGTACAGCAAACCGCTGCTGTAAAGTGCGGGAAATATTTTATAGAGATCCCGGTGAGCAGAGCAGGATCCGCTTTAAGTTCTGCTGGAATGGGGAGGGGGGGCAAGAGGAAGTTGTGTTTCAGGTGAGAGTAACCAGCACTGCTTTGCTCCTGCAGGTGAAGAAGCCGTGTCCAGAGTCCGATGGTTCAGAGCCGCAGAATCCCAGGTATGGTGCTGGAGGCCCGACGCCGACTGACTGCGGTGAGGTGGCGGAGAGTGAGGCTGAGCTGGGCTGTGGATTTGTAACACCAGAGCCATGGAGTTATGTTTTGCAAAGAACGAGTGGTTGGATCAGTTGTAATGGTTTTCACTCTAGAAAAGGGATTTTTCCCTTTTGCCGGTCAAAGATGCAGCTTAGAGTCTAGGTTGTTGAATTTAGATGGTGGCATAGCGCTGAGTGGTCACATTCAATTAAAAAACAATCCCAGCTATTAAATAGTGTAGAGAAATCTGTGTGATTGGATCTCACTTTCTTCAGTTATCCCTTTACTGCATATCTCAGTCTTGAAGTTTATTGGAAATATAGTTTATTTCCAGTGTGGAAAACTAATTATTTATTTGGGAAAATTTGTCCTTACCAAAACTTTATTTTGTTTTGACATGTGAAAAACATGCTGTGTTCATAAGCTGGAAAGAAGCCCTACATTCCTTTCCAGCACAGTCATTTCCAATATCATGTACATGAGGAAAAGGATTTAACTTCCACGTTCCACACATGTATGTACCTGTATGGATAATTTTGAGCAAGTGAAGTAGTAGCTGTTTTAGATGTACATCTTCCTTGTGTTTAGTAAACTGGTGGATAGTTTTCTTCAATATTTAGTGAGTACTCCGTGTCTTTGCCTTGCTTCTGTATAGAAGACTATTTCAGTGTCATGAAAGCTCAGAAGCTTTTGTTGTAAGGGGAGAGCTGCAAAATAAACCTGACATTTCACTAACATTGTCACTAAAACTCAGAAAAGTTAAATAATTCAAGGTTTGTACCCCAAACACATCCTTACCTATATCTTAACTATGCTCCTTAATTATTGCAGCAGGATCCTCTGGGGGTAACCTGCAGCATCCAAGGCCATTATAACATCTGTGCCTTGAGCTGCACTGTGCACCATCTCAATTTCTTTGATTTGCTCATGTCTGTTATTAATATGTATTTTCATTTAGTTTGATTAGAACTGAAAAGGTAAGAGATACTTCAATGTCCAAGTATGCTTTCAGCATAGTCAGTAGCAGTTTTGACCAGGACTTCAGTGGAAACCTGCTTTGCCCTTCAGTACTCGCAACTTCTAAATGAAAAACTTATCTGCTGTGCTTTGGATTAAAATTTATTATAAAGGTCAGATTCCTTCTGACTATTTTGACACCATGGAGAATCCCAGCATAGCACAACACTCATATACAAGTGTGTAGTTTTAAGTGTTGTGATTGCCAAATGAGACTATTGTATGTCAAGCCTTTAAAATCTATGAATTCCAGTCTGATGTTATTTCATCAAAGCGTGATGAAAACAAACTGCAACAACTGAGGACACTGAATGCAATGTACTGTTACTATCTTTGCACATCTGGAAATTTCTTGCAAGCTATAGTTAAATTCTTCATGCTGTGTCTGAGGAACAAGATACTTTTTTTTCTCCTGAATGTGCAAGAGAACCCATGTTACAAATAGTTAATCTGGTAGTTTCAGTTTTTGAAGTGTGTATTCAAACAGAAACACTTTTCATTTTGAGCTCTGCAGCCTCAGTTAGAGGTTATATCAGACAGAGTTGAAATTAGTGTTCCAAGCCTGAGCATACGCAGTGCTGTGTATACAGCCTGAAGTGGGATTTTTTGGTTGCAATGTGACTTTTGGTCTTAGAGGGGAATCTCTGACAGACCTGACAGGCTGGAGCAGCACTAGAGGGCTCTGTGTGGCACATCACACTTCAGAGCCTGGAGCAAGGTAATTCTTCTCTAAACAAGGCTTAAGTGAAAACACTGCACATAAAATGAAACATCAGCATAAAAATGTATGCTGGAGACACACAGCCTTACAGAATAGCTCCTGGCTTGGGACCTAAGGCCAATATCATTCATTTATTTAGCTAGCTTTATAGTCTGTTAGTTTTGGATTTGAAACTATTACAATAAATGCAGATGGAAAGTGTTTTTACAGTAGGGAAGTAATTAAATTGGGTGTGGGAACTTTGTCAGGAGAATTCTTGGAGTGACATGTGTGTATCAGCAGATTCTTTGTCTTGCTTGGCCTGGGTTTGTCTTTTAGAAAGAAGCAGTCAAACTGCAGATGTGACTACTAAATTTTTAAGGGATATACTAACCTATGCAGCATGTTAAAAAATGCTTTCCACAAGTGACCAGCTATACATACAATAAAAATCAACCTTCCCGGCATTTATTTATTACAGAAAATGCTTCTTGTCTTAACAGACAGGTAAATTGCACTGAAGGAGAGAGATCTTTAGTTGAGAATTGAAGTTATGGTGAATAGGTGAACTGTAAACACAAAAGGAAACATATGAGTCGTCACTGACAGATATTTTGATTCACAAACAACTTTGTCTTAAAAATTCTGTCATAGTTTCTTGGGAGTTTTTTAATCAAGTCCCTATGAAGGGGTTCTGAATACTTCCTTTTATACCTAGATGGTGGTAAATATATATATATATATATATACCTTTTATACCTTACAGTAGTGGTGTTGTGACTGTATCAATATTTTGGCATTCTTTCTTTATAATTTAGTAGTAAAAGTCAAATTCACCCTGCAACCCTGTACAGTTATGTAGTCATGCAAAATGCAATGCTTTCTAGGGATTTTGGTGTGTGATGCAGAGGCAGTGAATAATTGGGACTTGCCAACTGTTCCACCACAAGTCTGGATCAGGCAAGAGCAGCATGATGGACAATTCTGACATGCTGGTCCTGTATCAAATTCACTAGCAAGGTTAGGGAGAGAAGTTCCTGTCTTCAGAGCCTACAGACATGCGTTGCTCTTAATTTTCTTTTTTGACAGATGACTTTAAAATGGTATCAATCCTGACTGTGCTGAACAGCTCCTTTGTGAAATTCAATGTTATAAAAGAATTGCTGAAGTCTAGTGCAGTGCTTGAAAGTTAACTTCTTTGTAATTGTCAACAACCTTCCTTTTTACTTAAACAATAAAAAAGCCATTTTAATTCTAATAAGGAAAAATTTTGTTGCCCTGAAACCTGTAAGCTACATTTAAAACCTCATACTATATGACCTGTGGAAATACTAGAATATGTGTTATTCTGAAGTCTGGTAAAATGCTAAATATGAAGTCTGAGACTCCTGCTCACACTCAGCAACAGCATATTCTATTTGGTCACACATCCCACAGCAGTATCTTTCTTTGACATAGCAGTCTGCTTGACGGATGCATCTCTCTTATCCCCAAATCCTCCTTCTCATACCACCAGGCCTGACAGAGATTCCACTGTAAGATGAAAGTCACATCAGGAATTGAGGCATGAGAGTAAGTATTGTTTTTTCTGGGCCATAAAATTGAATAGGGAGGAGAGAAGTTAAATGAGGGAGTGGAAGTCATTGCAAATGGAAATTCAGCAGGGTCTTCTATTACTTCCTCAAAGTTCACTGATTATAGGAAAAAAATAATGGTTTTTTACCATCTGGAGGATGGAAGACTGCAGCAGAATGAAGATATTTTACTGACAATTTAAACACAGTTTCATTTTTTCCTGGAAGGGTAAAGGAAAATGGCTGAATATTTTGCATACTTTCCTTCTTTAGCTATGATATTTATGTTGTGATGAAGCTGTCTGTAGGAAGAAAGGGAAAACTTGAAGGTTTTGATGAGTAGTTTTGTAAGTTAGGGATAAAAGTTAGCTGACAAATCAACTTAGGAATACTTAGCATACATAGTGTCAAAAATACATTACTTGTGTATGTACAGAAGGGCAATGGATTTTTGTATTAGTAAGTTAAAATTAAGCCCCATAGAGCAGGAAGCCCTCCACTTTATTGTTTGATTTTTACTACAAATCTGTGTATCCAGTATTTCCAGTAATATCCATTCTTCCTGGCTTTTCCTTTACACACTTTAAAAAAATTATCCAAAAGCAAAGTAAAAGGAAATTAAGCCAGTCTTATGTAAATCCTCCCATTTAAAACTTTATCAGATGCTGCAAGAAGAGTGTAAATCAGGGGCATTACAGTTACTACATTGATGCCAGTTAGATGGGGTTTTGATGATCACTGGTGAATTCTGAATCATATGCACAGATCAAGTTGCCAGATAAAGCAGTTATCCAAAAATGTCCGCAGGGATTTTTTATGTGTTTAAAATGGCCTCCAATATTTCAATTCAGTATGGGCTTCAGTGAGGTTGCTAGCATAGATTGCAGCTGTTCATCAGATGATTGCTGTTCTGTTTTTCAACACCCATACTTCTATGTGGACCACAAAGTAAGATTTAAAAGATATGAATTCCTGTTTCTGTTTCATCTTAAAAGTCTTTTTAAAAACTTTTGAATGAGAAGTAGGCTTTCACATTTTCTCACCAGTCTCATTTTGATACCTACTCATGGTTTTTAATTGCTCAGGATACAGAGTGCGCATACACATCCAGAGACAATTATTGTTATTAATGCATTCACCAGTAAATAGATGGTATTGAATGTCAGTGAGAGCTACCACAGTTTTCCCATTCACTTCTCTTGATCAAAGTTTATTTCCTGTGCAGTTTGGGCTCACTGTTGTGGATGCAGTATTTACTATGATCACTGGATCTGAGCTATGCTAATGCTGCACGTATGCATTACCAAACAGTGTTTCCGTGACCATTCATACACTTAAAAACCCATAAAAATAAAAGTAACATGCATCTTCTGTGTCTTATTCCAAACAACCAGATCATCATGTTTCATTCTCATTGGTTTCAACTAAAATACACCTGAAATTTCTTCCACCAATTCCCTCAACAAGACCTTAACAGTCTTATCTCAGAATGATCACAGTGATAGTTCATTCTTTCAGTCAAGCATTGGCTGGCCCATATTTACTAGATCTAACACTGTAACTCCTGAGCCCAAATCCAAGCTTTACAGGTACCTTCTGTGATGAAGATTTCATGCCTTTTCCATGACTTTGAAAGCAGCTGACCATCTGCATACACATTCCTAGTAGAGCG